GGGGGGCGGTGGTGAATGGAGGCCAGGGAGGTCAGGGGAGGTGAAGGGAGGTTGCCGGGGGAGGGGAAGAGGTGAAGGCAGGTGGGGGCAGGTGAGGGGAGACGAGGGGCAGTGAATGGGGGGCAGGGGAAGTGAAGGAAGACCGGACAAGTTCAGGGAAGGTGAGTGGGGCTGGCGGAGGCTGGGGAAGTGCAGTCCAGACAACAGGGGAGCAGCTGAGCACAGAGGTGGGGTGTTTGGGACGGAGGGGTCGGCTTTGTTTTCATGGGGGTGACTGGGTATGAAAAGCTGACGGTGAGGAGCCCTCGGAGGAAGGTGACACTCTGGCAGCCAGGACAAGGGCGGGGGTTCCGGGGAAGGAAGGGAATGAGGAGGGGTCCAGGGCAGGGAGATTTGGGGATGTGGGCTGGAGGCCGATCCCGTCTGGTTCTCAGTTGTCCTTCTGTGGCCTTGATGAAGAAGCACCCTGTGCTGCTCGCTCCTGAACGCGGCGGCTCACTCCCAGCTGCTTTGGGTTCAGTTATAAATGGGGTCGCCTTCCGGGTTTGCTCAGGGGCTGGTCTTGCTGGTGTAGAGGGCGGGAAGCGCCTGCTTGTTGGCACTCAGCCCTACCCGGCCACGCGGGGACCCTAACAGTCCCGCCAGTGCGTTTCCCGCTGCACGTGACCTCACCTTCCCGGGGATGTCTCTCTCCAGCCTCCTTCTCCCTCTCCACTTTCTTGGCCCAAACCCACTCTCCGTGTCTCCACCGATCTCCTCTCCTCCCCTGGCCTCGTGGGAACATCGCACCTTCTCTTTCTAAGAATTCCCTTTGTTCACACAGCCTCCTGCCCACCGGAAGGTGAATAGCTCCATCAGGGCTGTGATGCCAGACGTGGGGGTCACACTGGGGCCCGCTTTTCACACACGGTCCCCCCCTCACCCTCCCCGCCTGCCTCCTGGGGTGGCTGTGCCACACTTTGCTGACCCAGCCCCCGGCCACTCCGTCTGTGTGGCTATCTCCTCCTCCGATCACTCCCTGGGGGTAGACTCTCGAAGTGAAGCTATTGAGCAAAAGTGACCCCCAGTTACAAACGGCACAGAAGTTGCCAACTGGCATTCCAGAAAGGCTGTCCCCCTCACCCTCCCCGCCTGCCTCCTGGGGTGGCTGTGCCACACTTTGCTGACCCAGCCCCCGGCCACTCCGTCTGTGTGGCTATCTCCTCCTCCGATCACTCCCTGGGGGTAGACTCTCGAAGTGAAGCTATTGAGCAAAAGTGACCCCCAGTTACAAACGGCACAGAAGTTGCCAACTGGCATTCCAGAAAGGCTGTGCCAGCTTGTACCCACCGAGAGCAAACGAGAATAGCAGTTCCCGAGCCTGCCAACAGCGGATGTTGAAATCTTTGCCGATGGGGTGAGCGAGGATCCTGGTCCCGGTCCGCGTTCCCTTGGTTACCAGGGAGGCTGAGCATCTTGCCTGTGCACAGCCACGTGCGGTTTCTTTTTTGGGGAATTGCTTCTTCGCTCCTTATATGAATGCTTCTGCTGGCGTGTTGCTTACAGCAGTCTTATCTGTGACAGGTTACAGTGATCTTCTCCCACCTGGTGGGGTGACGTTTTTGCTCTGTGATGTTTTCCTCTGTGGAGGTTTGCTGTGGGTGCCTTCTGTGGCTGCTCAGACTTTCTGCCTCCGTTACTGTTTGTTCTTGGAGATGTTCTTGTTTGGTGGTTTCTCTGTTTATTTCCTGTGGTAACCCACCTGGGAGGTGTTCTGCTGTGAGGACCCAGGCGGGCATCCTGTTTCATTGGTTTCTGACAGCTGCTGCACACAGTGGGTCAGCTGCTGTCCCCCCCAGGTGTGGACTTCCTGTGTCCGTTCTCGGTGTTTGGATTTTCTCTTCTGTCTCATTGATCTGTTGAGCTGCCCGATTTTTATCCCTAAGGAGAGAGACGTAAACTTCCACCTTGAAGTTGACAAACCAGATTTTCTTTCCTAAATGAAGAAGATGGATTTCCTGTCTGAGCATGGCAGCTACTGTCTGGAGGATCCCACAAGACCCTGTGGGATGACCCTCCACCCTAGCCCTCTGGAATGTCCTCATCCCTTCTTCCTGCTCAATCAAATCCCACCCATGGCTGCAAACCCAGACCTTTATTTAACCTACAGACAGCCGCAGGCCACCTCCTCCAGCCACGCCCTGTGCCAGGGCAGCCACAGTCCCGGTGCCCGTCTTCATCACTGCGATGCCTTCTCTGAGATTCCCACCTGGAAGCGGGGAGGGCAGCACCCCCGCTGCCGTCCCTGCGCTGGGAGGTTCCTGGCCTCAGTGCCTCGGGTCTGCGCTGTGGTCACTGGCGGGAAGCAGGGACACGCCTGGGGAAGCTGGGACATGTGGACACACCGCGTGCTGGGCGTTATCTGTCCGCACTCCTGACAGCATCGCTGGGAGGTGGCCCATTCTTACCGTCCTCGCACACCAGGTCGGGGGACGGACACAGAGAGTCCCTTGGCCAGGGTCCCACATGGGGAAGGAGCAGAGCAGCCGGCAGCTGTCCTGGACAGACCACATGCCAGGGTGGACATCCAGGGGCCGTGGGGCTGAGGTGTCACCCCGTCTGGCCCAGAACCGCCCTCCCGCCCAGCCTGTGGCCTCCAGGGAAGACGTAGAGCAACCTTCCAGCTGCTGCTGTCAGAAGCTTCCGGGTGAAGACTGGGGAGCGCCAGTCATGTGCATCGCGCCCTGGGTGTGCATCGGGCCCTGGGTGTGCATCGGGCCCTGGGTGTGCATCGGGGCCTGGGTGTGCATCGGGCCCTGGGTGTGCATCGGGCCCTGGGTGTGCATCGGGCCCTGGGTGTGCATCGGGCCCTGGGTGTGCATCGGGCCCTGGGTGTGCATCGGGCCCTGGGTGTGCATCGGGCCCTGGGTGTGCATCGGGCCCTGGGTGTGCATCGGGCCCTGGGTGTGCATCGGGCCCTGGGTGTGCATCGGGCCCTGGGTGTGCATCGGGCCCTGGGTGTGCATCGGGCCCTGGGTGTGCATCGGGCCCTGGGTGTGCATCGGGCCCTGGGTGTGCATCGGGCCCTGGGTGTGCATCGGGCCCTGGGTGTGCATCGGGCCCTGGGTGTGCATCGGGCCCTGGGTGTGCATCGGGCCCTGGGTGTGCATCGGGCCCTGGGTGTGCATCGGGCCCTGGGTGTGCATCGGGCCCTGGGTGTGCATCGGGCCCTGGGTGTGCATCGGGCCCTGGGTGTGCATCGGGCCCTGGGTGTGCATCGGGCCCTGGGTGTGCATCGGGCCCTGGGTGTGCATCGGGCCCTGGGTGTGCATCGGGCCCTGGGTGTGCATCGGGCCCTGGGTGTGCATCGGGCCCTGGGTGTGCATCGGGCCCTGGGTGTGCATCGGGCCCTGGGTGTGCATCGGGCCCTGGGTGTGCATCGGGCCCTGGGTGTGCATCGGGCCCTGGGTGTGCATCGGGCCCTGGGTGTGCATCGGGCCCTGGGTGTGCATCGGGCCCTGGGTGTGCATCGGGCCCTGGGTGTGCATCGGGCCCTGGGTGTGCATCGGGCCCTGGGTGTGCATCGGGCCCTGGGTGTGCATCGGGCCCTGGGTGTGCATCGGGCGGCGCTGGGTGTGCATCGGGCGCTGGGTGTGCGTCGGGCCCTGGGTGTGCGTCGGGCCCTGGGTGTGCGTCGGGCCCTGGGTGTGCGTCGGGCCCTGGGTGTGCATCGGGCCCTGGGTGTGCGTCGGGCCCTGGGTGTGCGTCGGGCGCTGGGTGTGCATCGGGCGCTGGGTGTGCATCGGGCCCTGGGTGTGCATCGGGCCTGGGTGTGCATCGGGCCTGGGTGTGCATCGGGCCTTGGTGTGCATCGGGCCCTGGGTGTGCGTCGGGCCCTGGGTGTGCATCGGGCCCTGGGTTTGCATTGGGCCCTGGGTTGCATCTCAGCAGCAGAGCCTTGGATGACCCGCCTGCTGGGGCTGAACCGAAAGCAGCAGATGGCACTGGGCTCCTCTTTGCCAGTCAGGAGAAGGGGAATGCACAGCCATCTGTGTGCTGTGTTG